GTAAAGTCCACATGCTAGACAGTAATGAATCTGTTATCAAACAATTGGTTCCCGAGCTTCGAGCCTATGGAAAATAGTGAATGAACGAACGAGTAAAATATAAGAAATGTAACACATATATTTGTGGTACTAGAAAGACTTACATAACAATTTTGAACCATTCTGCAAATTCAGATCGATTTTGCACAACTGCAATACAGTCAAAATTGGATTTGTAGCCTAAAAAGCTGATACCTGGTTAGAACAACAAAAATATCATAAATAATGAATGTAAACTAAGCTGTAATTAAGTAGACCTCCTCTATAAAATTTATAACTACTGTACAGAAGGTGTAATCGCAAATTACAAAATATAGGCTCAGCCCGATCGGTATCTCTGATACAGTTCAGTTTTTTTTTCGTTTAACCGACGTAATGCCCAGGATAGTGTGAAAATGTTATATTCCCATTCTAACTCAGATCTATTTCGATCTCCTCGTCAATCATGGCGTGCGACCCTAAGCTGGGTAAACATGTGGTTCGAAGAGTGTGAATAGAAGATGGAAGCTTCAGTTGCACCAAAATGCATTACAAATGATCCCTGGGAGCCCTTTTGCCTATTGCGCACGGTTGTCTTTTATTTTTGGCCGGTGTTTAATTGTACATAAGAAGAATATGTAAAAATTATGAGTTGAATAAAATAATTGTAAGATTAGAATGGGAATGTTATATGATCACCTCTTAGAAAAATGGATACACCATCCTATATAACCGGTCGCTGCTACACGACATCATAGGGCAAATGAACCGACAGATGCTCCATGAATCAAAAAAGTCGGGCGAAAAAATCGCTCCAAATTGCAACAATCGCGTCGGAAATAAAACAATATCGTTAATTCCTTGAAAAAGAACTCAATTCTTGACATGCTTTCCAAAATTTTCCCTAGCAACAATTCCCGGGAATGCCACAGGAAACAATTTCTTGCAGAAAACATGACAGCATGCTTTCATGCCAAACAATCGTAGATGTCCTCATGTCGACACATCTACCCATATTTATACATACCATCTGGAAACCGCAATGATCAACCCACTCCATAATGACTTGCGTTTGGTTATCTAAAAGAAATAACAGCCTTGAAACTTTTCAGTAACTACAGAGGCTCGATCTGGCAAACATACAAATCTCAAGTAAAACACACTCATATTAAACACTTCGATATCATACCCAACAGTCCCACAGTCAAAATGGCCACTACGGCCCCAACTCAAACGCTCAATCAGGATTTTCCACTCAAATGAAAACACAAATCACATAAAAAGTAATGTAAAAAAAATAATATCAAAAAAATAAATCAACATAGAAGGTGATCTCGCTTTGTTTTTGTATTTTTTGTATTTTAACGTTCCTCAATAATTGTAAAAAGTTAGTAACTTCGTCCTAAAATTAAAGCTGTCAATTGAAGCAAGAGAGATCAACAAAAGCTATGACCTATAACTTATGCTATATAAAAAGTACGGTAAGTGGAATTAATTTGATATCTAGTATTAAGATGGATTTATACATGTAAATATTTTTTCTAAATAACATACCGTCAGTGCACAAATTCTATGGTGCTAGCTCTTACTTGTTTATAGAGTCAAAACGGGAAATATTAAACACATATAATTTGAAGAGCTTCATGGATTGATTACAAGCCTACTAACATTACCGGGCCGAAAGATTAATGGTGCTTCCTTTTACTTTAGACAAAGATCTATTAGTTACAGTTCAATGATTTAATTTTAAAGAGGAAAAACAGTAAAATAATGATAAAATAATCTTTTTCAGTAAATAACTAATAATTAATATAATTAATCTTATAAAAAAAGAATTGGTTGACGGCTATATAATTTTCTAAAACTTGTGAAAATACATATGTTACTTCCCCAGTTAATAACCAAAGGAAGGCAAGACGAATAACGCTTTAAGTATATAAATATAATTGCCCTTAATTCCAAATTTATATAATGGTTTGTACAAAATGCTTGTATTTGTGGACAATTTTATGATTTATAAAATTATGAATTTTTAATCAGTTTTTTGTCAAGAAATAAAAGTCAACAAGATTGAAAAGGATAATTTAAAATAAAATTAAGCTGTGTATCGAAAAAAATATATAGACACAATAAAACCACTAACAAAAAAAAAAAAAGTGAGAATGAAGAAATCAATCTCGTGCTTTCCTTTCAAATGTTGAAATCAATCATAATTGAAATGAAAGTGTATTAACTTAACAACCTACTTTGTTCTCAAATTAAATAAAAAAGATTAAATTACTTTTTTACAAGTTCAAGAAGTTCAAAATGTTTATGCTATTATAAAGCATTTGTGGCAGCTGAATAAGGGAACAATTGATCAGATTAGATCCAATATACATAAGACAAACAAAGAAAACAAAAAATAAAATATCCAATAAGTGCTGGAATAAGGAAATAAAAAACAAGAAGAGGAAAAAAAAGTTTCCCATGTTTTGAGCTCAAAAGTATGTTATGTAAGCAAGAAATGCGCCAAGAAAGAGATATATACAATGGAAAGTATAGTAAGGAAAAAAATAAAATAATTACCAATTATTAGACCAGGCGAGTGAACGACGCGACTTCTCCGGTGACAGGGGCTAAAATCCGGTGACATATGCTTCTTCGGCGACCGTCGCTGCAAGAGAGAGGGATGTAGCGGCTGAAAATGGAGAGAAGAAAGGGAAGAGGCGAAAATGGCACGCCCCAAGGCGACCAACGGGATTATAAAAGCCCAATTTTGCGATCGATCGCAATTCACGTTAAAAACGAGTTGGTGGGTTTTCGGCAAGTTGTTAACCTGCGATTAATCGTTGTTGGTAAGCAAACCAATTGCAACCAAAAATAATCGATCAACAATCTGTCAGCGAGTTTGCGTTAAATCCGCAACAACGCAATTGTTAGCGATGGACTGTGGAAGACGGTGGGCAAAATCGATCGGAATTTCATACGCAATTTGAGTTCGCAAAAAATTAAATCTAAACGGCGGGAGTTACTAGCTCAGAATTAGCGACGGATATGCAGTCGGTCGCGAAAGTTGCGAAATTGAATCGCAAAATGCTGTGCCTAAATGAATATAAATCTTCTGTAACTTTAAATTCATCGCAAATGTGTCGCAAACATCATTGCGAAATAATTGCGACCGGAAATCGCATTTTTTTTTTTTTTTTTTTGTGTGAATGGTCTAAGTTCTGATTCAAGGAATGACAAGGTCAACTTTTTGTATCCATGGCTTTACGATCCTCTGCCAATCTGCTTCTTAATCAACGCCTAAGACCACGAACTTAGGAGAAATCAAAGCTTAGATGGAAACGTCACCCTTCGAACAAAAACCTGAAATAAGAAAACCAAAAACAAACACGACAGAAGAAAAGGGGAAGAGAGAAGGAATAAACAACCAGACAAAAAACCCCAAAAAAACCAAAGGGGGAAAACGTTTCAAAAAAAAAAAAAAACCCAAAAAAGAAAAAAGGGGCCAAAAAAGGAAGAAAAAAAAGAAAAGAACCAAAGCCCCCTAAATAAAAAAACAAAATAAGAAGCAAAAAGAAAATAAAAAGGAAGTCACGAAAAAAAAAAAAAAAAAAAAAAAAAGAACTTCAGCTGCAAGGAATGAAAACCCTAATCTCATTGAGAGAAAACCCTGAACCTTCATGGACAGGGAACAATACTTTGGCCGCATTTAAAAGTTGGGAATCACATACGCTTCTACTTATTTTACTTATTGGTGTTTTTTATTCGGCTTAGCAATCATTGATGGAGTTCAAGATATTAATCTAGAGAGAATATTCGGCTTAGCAATCCTTCTCTTGGGACTACTGTGTCCAACTCATTTAGATTAATAGTCCAGCGACCTGTTTGCCCACTTGGTCATTAAACTCCAATTCTCTTACTCTAAAAGTTGTTTATAAGGATCCTTGGATTTCGCAGGCCATCTTTTAACTAAGCTGCGGTTTTTCGCCCCAACAAGCTTAAAATGTCATTACATAGTATTTATTTAGTTTATAGATGATGTAATAGACATAATTCACTAAAATTCTTTATTGGTTGGTGTTCAACAAAATGAAGGGTGAATGAAATAATGAAAATATAAGTAGTAGAAATCCGAGGCATCTAGATAAATACGTTTTGAGAAATATAAAGATAAAAGAAGATAAATTTGTTTGTAAAGGAATCTTTAGTTGTCACTTTAAGTTCCCTTTGGCAGATCCTCTGATTGCAAAAAATGTAACAACTCAAATTACTAGAATTTAACAATCCTTGGATCATGAATTATAACATTAATTTTAGATACATATACAAGAATCACATTCAAATATATTTTTCAAGTTTCATAAATAATCATACCTCAATTACAGTTATCTTCAATTCTAGAAGACTATGGGCCTTTTCAGTAAAATTAACTGTTTTGGTAGTTATTAATTATTTTAGTAGCATTTAGCGTTTAGATGTTTAAGTAGTTTTTATGAAACGACGCGAAAAATCAAATGTTACCTTAATATCTAAAAGCTAGTTCAAGAACTGTGTTACCGAATACCATAAAAATAATCTTTAGCGTTTTGACAAAAGCAAACTTGAAAAACCGTTGCCTAACACAGCCTATATATAAATTCAAAACGTCAAAAAAACAACCATGTTTTAGATTCATTAGACACAAATTTAGCTTTTATGTAAAATTCTAGTAATTTAAAAGCATATACTAAATTCAAGATATTTTATATTTAATTATGTAAATAGCAATAACAATATAGATAGTACAGATGAAGCTAGTGGGGAGAAGTCCATAACCTGGTCATAATACATAATATTAACTTGTGAATGGGAAAGCTGAATCTTAATGATGATTATTTTAGAAGTGAGAATTTGCCTTTGGCAGATTCTTTGTTTTGATCGAAGAAATTCTCCATTATTAACTTCTAATTACGTCAGAAAATAAGACCTGTAGCTCCAACTGAAAAGAAAAGAGAAGATGAAGTACACAGATAAATCCAAGTAGCAACTAAGGGCGTCGATTTTATTACAGCAACAATCCCAGATTGAAATTCATGGCATATTTTCTAAGGCAGTACACATAATAAACGTTATATTAGGCGTTTAACTGAACACGATCGCAGAAATCTTACTTCTCACATCAAAGAGACAAACAATGAACATAAGCAAAGTCCCCATCAATTTGTAACCTCAACTGGTTCAAAACCTTTCTCGATGGATGTCTTTACTGCATCCAGTAACAGTTGTGTTTTTCTACTGCGACTCGGCCAACTTTGATCTGGTTTTGCTCCATTTGCCTTAACATTTGCAACCAACCGAGCAAATTCTCGCACCATGCAAGCTTCCTGAGGGAGATCAGTGAAAACAGTGTGCTGACTTGGCAATGGATCCCACCCGGTGACAGGTTCATTGAACCAACATTTTGAAGATGCTGTGTAAGAAAATTCCTTCTCATTAAAAGGAATGATGAAATCATCGAGATGCAAAGTTCCCTTTGTTCCAATTGCAGTTATGTACATCGTCAAATGTGTTAAGAAAGAGCAATGGAAGGTTGCTACTTTGCCATCTTCCCAATGAAAAGAAGCCCCACAGGCTAAAATAACCCCTGCATCATTTAAAATAGGCCCACGCAATGCTACAACAGTCTTTGGCAGTTCGTAGTCAGCAGCCCAGAGAATTGCACGAAGACCATACCACCCAGCGTCACCAAGAGCACCAAGACCATCAAGATCTGGCTTGACACGAATGTCATTCTTGAGAAAGTCCTCGTCAGCAGCAAATGTAAAGCAGCTGTGTATCTGAAGCATCAAAATGAGATTTTAGAACAACAAAAACTTATAATAGAAGAAAGAACTCAGAAACAAGAATATGCATATATTGTTAGAAACTTACAAACTTTAGTCTACATGATATAGTCAATTTATTTCATACACAAACAGACGATTAGATTATAAATAGCAAAACAATGCATTATGATATTTTCAGGACAAACACAGCCAAAATTCCGTTGGGAAATATTTCTCATTTTCTCTTGGAACCATCTCCCAAGGTACCTCAAGAAGCACTATAATAATACAATCCACAGTAATTGGAAACCACCCATAAGAACACATGCAAAACACACATAAAGCTCAAAGAAACAGAATGACAGGCAGCATATAAAGTTTTCTTAAACAGCAGGGGATGGATATTTAAAAAAAAAAAAAAAGCCATGAGTGCAGTGCAAGCACTACCACACATTTACAAAAGCAATAATGCGTCTAACCTCAACAATCAGACACACCAGGATGAGAAATTGTCTTTTCTTTTTTTTTTTTTTAGTTCTTCCCCCTAATCACTAGTTTATTAAATTGATCTGTTATCTACATTGAAATGTTAGGAATTGATGAATATGAGCTCCAGCCAACACAAATACTACATCCTGCACCCTAATGCTGGAAATCATTGGCAAGCTTATTAATCAGCATCAGGTTTTGAGTTTCAAACATCACATGTTATGATTTTTTTTCCTGGGCACCATGCTGTTTATGCGACAGGTACATTCAGCATAGAAAAGGCAAACTCAAAAGTATAAAAAAAAATGCTGAAAAACAGTTGTAAATGATAATTACAGAAGGAACTGGAAAGCACCTCTGAAACAAGAGGAAATTGAATTACAAAAAAAAACTAATGACCGTGATTGAACTTGTGATTCTGCAACTATCCGCTCACTTAAAATAATTGAAAACTAGGTCAGCGAGCTTCACAGCAAGGGTCCTGGTTTATCATGAATCTAGGTAAGTTGAACTCATATTTTGTTTGTTTTGAATTCTAACTGAACCAGAATCCAACATACTCATAGTTTTGGGTAATACCAAGGATGCATGCCAAACACTGGTAGTTCTTAAATGTCATATGAAATTGCAGGATGACAAAATTTAGCCAAATGCATCCAAGCCAAGCAAAAAGTTTATAGCTGGTGTTACATAATATGCAGTATTGAACAGACCCCTGTGGGAGGAAAGAAAACATCAATATATATGTGCACTCATACCAGATCAATAGTGACATAGCACATGCAACCGCATCTCACCTGATTTTTTGACACTAATTATGGCAATAGTTATGCATGCTCCAATATCCATCATATGCGTACAAACAGGCAAAAGATTCATATAGCAAACCCTAAGTAGTTCTTGTTTTTCTTGTGCTTTGTTCTATTTATTAAGATATCAGATGAATTATGTGCAGCATATGTTGTGCTGCAAACAAAAAATTCCTTAAACAAAGAACCGAGATTTGCAATTTATTAATACATCAAATGAATCCTGCGCAGCATATGTTGTGCTGCAAACAAAAATTCCGCTAAATTAAAGAAGATAGGTTCGCAATAAAACTTTTCAATAAACAAAATTCCAATGATAATAAAGGCTGCAGAATGTAGGTTAGCCAATAGATGCATTCATAATGTAACCTGGTAATATGTTGAACAAAATTTTGAAGCATAGTAAAAGATCGGGGGGGTTGATGGAGCAGCCAATAATTATTGAACAACATGGACTAGAGGGCATGTCCTAAGCAAAAGTTCAGGCTTAAATAAACGCAACCTAGGAAATACCAGCATCAGCAACTTTAAAGCATGAGAAAAAGGATACACAAACTCCTGTTTTCAACATACACATCATGCAGAATAATACCTATGTTGTAAAGACAATTACAAAGAAAATTTGCAGAAAGGGGGAACTAGTCATATGATTATGAGATAGAAAATACATTGAAAGAAAACGGAATAAATTGCAAGGAAATTAACCATTCCATTCATTTTATGAGCATGGAATGGAATATATATAATATAATTAACTAAAAAGTGAAACATAATATGGATTTACTATTATATCAAAATTCTTAGACTTTACACAATTTCCTTTTACTAACAAAAAGATAATTTATATTGAACTAAGAAGCTGACTAGCCATATTTTCATTTTCACTTCATATGATTAACTTATATAATGCGCTTTTTCTACTCATTCCATTAACAAGCATCTCGATCCTTTGCATTAACTTCATGAAATCTCAGAGCATGATGGTCATGACCATCATTAGTCTAAGAAAACTCAAGGAATAAGTTACCTCTACAAGTGCACATCCATGAAACTAACTAAAACCAAAGCAACCTTTCCAAAAGTGAAAACAGAGAATACTTGAAAGAAAAAACGGAAAGAAAAGAAAAGTTACTTTTAACCTTAAGAGTCAAACACATTAAATGAACAGAGTAAGTCATACTGTTAAGCTGTCAGAAACCACTACTATAAATTAGCTTCTATATAACCCAAAAAAAAAAAAATAGCAAGCAGAAACTCAATGTCGGAAAACTATCAACCCTCATTATAACAAATCCGAATCTCAACCAAAATAAACAATAAATTCCAAAATTTTTGTGAAATTTGAACAATCACTTGATAATTTTTCCCTTTTCAACGTGTAATTTTCTTTTATCAAGCATCCATTTTCCCATTTTAAAATGAAACAGATAGTACAATAAAGAAAAATACAAATAAAAGCCAAAAACGAGAGCGTTTTCAAAAAGAAACTCACTGTTTTGAGCCCTCCAAAACGCTCCTTATCGCTCAAGAACTGTCTCATCTTTTCAGTTCTTGGATTATGCATCCACATTGTGCCATCCATAATTTGCACTTCATTAGCCTCACAAGCCTCCAAAATTTTATCAAACTCGCCAACATTAAGCCCTACTGGCTTCTCTAACAAGACATGCTTCTTTTTCTCAGCAGCCAAACAAGCCCATTTCACGTGAAGACTGGTAGGCAAAGGGATATATACGGCGTCGATGTTCGGGTCGTCAAGTAAGGACTCATAGGAGCCGTATATCTTCGCGTCGGAAGGAAAGTTATTGGCTTTTGCAAACGCCACCGCTTTTTCCACCGTACGGCTGGCAATGGCCGAGAGTTGCGCGTTAGGTGCGAGTGTTATTGCGCGTGAGAGCTTTCTGGCTATCTCCGCGCAGCCGATTATCCCAAAACGAATTGCCGTTTCGGCCATTGTAGCGAAAGAGAGAGTGGGTGGAAGGCGTGGATGATTAGATTGAATTTTGTATGGTAAAAGCGATATAGTGGCGGCAGATAAAGGAGGGGACGAGAGACTTCTTTGATTCTGCTTGCATTACCGACAATTATTACAACAGTGAAAAATAATAATGGTACTATTGTATTAAAAATTAAAATATTACTCGAAAGGCTTTACTTTTTTTTTGTCATAAATTATAAATCGTGTTGTTATATAAAAATTAATAATTATAATAAATTCAGGGGTAATTTAATTAAAATATTTTTTATCTCAAAACTAATGTTTACTCGTAAAAATATTTATTATAATTAATTTAAATAATGGTAAAATTGAGAAAACATCATTTATTATTCTTTAAAATATTCAAAACTATCTATAATTTAAAATAAAATAATCACCTAAAAACGATTTATATTTTGAAAGGAAAATAGTGTCTTTTATTTATTTGAGAAGTCGCACACCAAGATATAATTAAGTGATAAGTGCATATACGTACGAACTAGCAATGAATTCATGTTCGAATCCCCATCTTCCAATATTTAAAAAATTTACTCTTAATAAAGATGAAAGTGGATGGATATACGTGAATTTTGAACATCCATATTTGTTTTAAATCTGTTTAAATCCAAACTAAGACTTTGAAAAACTTGTAACCGTAGCCATGAGAAGTAACGGGTCCAACTCTAGCGTGAGAAGAGAGAATGAGATGGTAGAAAATTCAACCGTTGCCGGCCATAACCTTTTTAGGCGGGTTAGTGAGAAAGAAAGAATTCATGTGATGGGAAAAGAAAAAATAAAGAAAGAAAGAAAAGAAAAAAGAAAGAAATGAATGAATAAAAAAAAAAGAAAAGAAAGAGAGAATAAGGGAGAAGTTCACGCTAGAAGCTTCTCTTCGTATCTTTTATTATTATTATTATTATTATTATTATTATTTTTACTTGTCTTTTGTAGGACGACGTGTCTTGCACGTTGGTTATAGTCGTTATATATTCATTTTTCTATCTATATAATATTAAAGCATAACTTTTATTTAGATTAGAATAAATATAAGTGGTTAATTTATACTTTGACATACAAACTACTTACAATATTATTTTTTTATGTACTTAATTCTATTTTTATATAATAAAGTGTTCTCAGAATAATATTCAACTAAATCCCTAGACTTAATCCTTTAATTCCTAAATTATAAATGCAGATTTTTAAAATCCTAGTAGGTTCCCAAAATGAAAATCAAACGATCACTCAATCTCCAACTCTGCCTTCAATTGCAAATCAATATCTATATACAACTATAATGAAAAATAATAATAAATTATTTTTTACTACTGTATAAAAGAAAAGAAATGAGAAGATGATATGAATTGATAATGGATGAGAAGATGATATGAATTGATAATGGAAATCACTTTGGCTACAGTAATAGTATATTACTTACCTAGCATATCAAAGAAATAAATATATGCACATACATAAAATTTCTTGAAACCCTAAATGTAACACCCACCGGCCAATCCAGGAGAACCAGACGGCGGATGCCACAATCGGTGCCGGAGCACCGTCTTATGTCATTTATTAAAGCCAGATCACAAATTAGAAGTGGTTAAATTTTCATAACGAGGCAAGTAATTAACATTTTGTTTGGTTTTTTTTTTTCTTTTGTTAACGAAAATAATATTTAAGGAAATTCCTACGAAAATTTCGCAACCCCCTTAAAAAAAAATTAACTGCCCACACAAAGAAATATACACACTTCCCAATTTTCCTCCAAACCCCAAAACTCCAATTCAACATAAAACATACCACAAGCACTTCTAAATATCCATCAATATACGCAATTCATAGTCTAAACACATTCTTGTCAAGGAATATATAATCATCATACACCAAAAATATAATAAGATGTTATTTCCTTCAATATCAGTAAACTCTTAATACATTATAAACTTATAATATACAAACTCCATAATACAATCTTTATTTATACATGCGCAAAAAATCACCCATTTACAAAAATTATCCTACCCCAAAATGTGATCTTACTCTGATGCTTGCTCCTCTGTTCTTTATGGTCTTGAAGAACACCCTCCGCTCCTAACTTGCGCGTGATAAAAATCAACGCGCTGAGTGGAAGACTCAGTGGTGCTAAATAACCAACAATTTAATGAACAATAATAGCCAATGCAAAACTTAAATTACTCAACTACATAAATACCGAAATCGCATTCATTTAATTCAAATACTTTGAAAGCAATGAGAAGATTATAAATACAAAAATGTCTTCATTCTTTTATAGCAACAATAAAATTTCATTTTTCGTTAAGGCTCATACTCATGCAGAATGAACATAAGCAGATTTGATCGTGGCCTATAGCGCCACCCCCCATTCACAATACTCTGCCTATGAAAGCACCACCGTGGCCTATGAAAGCACCTGATCGTGGCCTATATTAGCGCCACCCCCATCGCACAATCGTGGCCTATGAAAGCACCACCCCATCACACAAATAAGCGCGTCCGCCTATTTGTAAGGGATGATAACCCTAGCATATGATCATAGCTTCACAATAACAAAATCAATCTCATCATACCACGTTTCAATCATGCATAGTAGAGCCCATCGCACACCGTGGCCTATGAGCGGTGGCTGTGAGCGATGGCTGTAGTGACAAAACCTCTTCATTTAGTACTCATCAGTTCAAAAGTTTTACTCAAAACACTATAAATGTATATATACTTAATATAGTATAAAAGTACATAAATGAAGAACTTTTCAGCATTTCCAAAACTTGACCTCTGCTGGATTTTTATTTAACACATAATTTGACTTATGGGTCTCCAAATTGAATGAAATCAGGTTCATTAGAAAGCTAAGACAAAATTCTACAAATGTTCAGAAGGGACTACAGCCCAGATCATAGAGTAAGATAGCAAACAAAAGCTTAGAACGCAGACCAACAAGATAGCAAACAAAAGCTCAGAACACAGACCAATGGATCAGACCTGATTCAGCAAAACCAAGTCCAATGTTTCTTGAATTCCTACTTCACCAAACACTCAAATGAAACCAATTCAGAACGAGAGAATTCACAAGACACAGGGCAACAACTTTTATGAAGAACTCAGAACCTAATCTTGTCATTATAGTGGTCAAAATGGGCACTTAATTTAGTAATGCATGTGGCCCGATACAACAGAGTCAGAGTCAGTTTGGGTGTTTCAGCCATAAGTTGAGCTATGTATCTCCAAATTGGACACAAGAGGATGGGTTGGAAAGATAAGAAGTAGAGATACAATTTTTATGAAGAACATAAGACATTATTTTGCCATTTGAGTGGTCAAAATGGATAATCATTTCGGATATACAGGTAAGACACCATAACAGAACCAGTTTTGGTATTTAAAGTTTTGGTATTTCAATCATAAGTTGAGCTACAAGTATTGGAATTAGACATAAGAATATGTTTTGGAAATCTGAGAAATAGAGCTAAAACTTTCATGAAAAAGTAAAAAACAAATGGGAAGTATAAAGGGGTCAAAAATGAGCTCCAATCCCACGGCAGAACACATCTCACATTAAAATTCAGCAATTTCAACAAAACATACAAAGTTCCCAAAATATATTCAAAACCCTAACCATTTAAAACAACTTAAACAAGTGAAATTATGATTGCACTAACCTTATTAACAAGCTTGATTAAGCTTGGAAAGCCTTACTCCTTGGCTTTCTCTTTCCCCATTGGTTCTCCAACCTCTTCAAGCATGAAAAAGTCAAACTTACAAGCAAAACTTAACAAAAGAAATAGTTGGGCATTGATTTAATGCATCATAACATGTCTAAAACCATGGATTCTACTTTAAAACAATTCACAAAAACTCAAAAAACCACAACTTTACTGCTTCAATGGTAACTTTCACTTCTCTTTGGTTTTAAATCACCAAACTTCAAACTTCTACTCTTAATTTTGAAGAAATTAAGTTACTAATCTATGATTTAATTAGGTAGTTGGTGGTTTAAATTTGGGAGGTAAGAAAATGAGAAAGAAATGGAAAGAAAGAGGAAGAAGATGGGAGAGGGCGTGATAAGGAGAAAAGAAGAAAGAAATAAGGTGTGTGGTGTTTACTTTTTAAGTTGCCCAAAGTCAATTTGAACTTCCTAAATCCAGCAAAAATGTGTGGCTAAGATCAAGATCCTCAAGTAATCTCATCCATGGCTCTAAATATTCCTCAAAATTAATTCTCTTTACTTCTTATTAACTCCACAATTAATTAAATTAACTCCACTAAAATAATTCCTCATTTTATTTCTTTAATATACCACACTAGAAATATTATGCATTCATACATAAAACTCTACATAAACTCTCCAAAAATATTCATTAAATATTTTCTACCCACCTAAATCATGCAAACATGCTCCAAAAATAGTAAAAAAAATATTAACTAAGTGTAGCAATTTTTCCGAACTAAAATATTACCAAGTCCTGGACCGATGGTACTATTCACAGACCGGTAAATCACTATTACCGATACTAAAAGAAAAATCAATCTGTTACAGTTCTCCCCCCCTTAAAAGAAATTAGTCCTCGAATTTACCTGGTGTAAATAACTGAGGATGCTGTTGTCTCATAATATCTTCACTTTCCCATGTAGCTTCCTCGGTCTTATGCCAAAGGACCTTTCCAAAGGAATTCTCTTATTCCCTTAGTGCCTTGAGTCCCTCGCAAGTATCCCCACTGGTTCTTCCTCATAAGTCAAATCTGGCTCTATTGGTAACAGAATCAACTGGTATCAACATGGATGGGTCGGGACCATACCTCCTCAACATAGACACGTGGAAAAACATTATGTTATTCCTATCCAGGTCTGGTGTGGTAAAGCTAGGTCTATAGGCTAATGGACCCACAACGCTCAATGATCTCTTATGGACCAATGAACCTAGACAAGCTTACCCTTTCTCCAAATCTCAATATCTTTTCCACGGAGATACCTTAAGGAAAACCTTATCCTCCCACAGCCATACTCTATATGCCTCCTCTTCGAAATCCCGCATTTAAGATTTCTGACGATCTGAGAGCTGCTTTCAAATCTATCTCTGTTAATTCTTGACCTTTATCCTCCTGTTGTCTCGAATCAATCTGGACCTATAATTTGCCCTCACCATTTCTGACCAACTCTGACCAACATAGTGGAGTCCTACATCTCCCGCCATATAGTGCTTCGAAGGGAGCCATCTGAATGCTCGACTGATAACTGTTATTGTAGGCAAATTTCGCAAGTCGGATGTACTTCTCTCAACTACCCTCAAACTCAAAGATGCAAGCTCTCTCAGCATATCCTCTAAAATCTGAATAACCCTCTCTGACTGACCATCTGTCTGAGGATGAAAAGCTGTATTAAAATGCAGTTTAGTACCCAAAGCCTCATGTAACTTCTTCCAAAACCTCGAAGTAAATCTCGGGTCTCTATCAAAGATAATGGAAGAAGGAACTCCATGCAATCTCACTATCTCATTCTATATAAAGCTCTGCAACTGCTCCATGGTGAAGTCAGTCCTAACAGGAAGAAAGTGTGCCGACTTGTAGCCTGTCAACTATTACCCAGATAGCATCTTTTCTTTTAGGAGTTAAAGGCAATCCAGTCACAAAATCCATAGTAACCTTACCCATTTCCATCCACTCTGGAATAGAAGTAGGGTGTAACAAACCAAAAGGAAACTGATGCTCTGCTTTCACTTGCTGGCATGTCAAACACCTCGACACATAATCTGTTATATCCCTCTTCATCGCCGGTCACCAATAGTGTGATTTCAAATCATGATACATCTTATTACTGCTAGGATGCATAGCATAGGGACTACTATGAGCTTCCTTTAAGATACTCTTTCTCAACTCTGAAATTTTAGGTACACAAATTCGATCCCCAAAATACAAGCAGTCCTCTCTAATCTCAAATCCCTTCTTCTTATCCTCTCTGACTAGGCCTTTCCACAAGGCAATAGTCTCATCACCCTGTTGTGCATCTCTAATCTGCTGCAGTAGGCTTGTGCATCTCGTAACTGCTGCAGTAGGATAGGGTTTCACCATAAAGCTCGGCGTACCAGAGCACCATCTCTAGTCACAGATACAGTTTTTGCCATTCCCATAGCCAGCGAAGAGCAACTAATTGCCTTCTACTGGTGCATCTGCCACTACATTAGCTCTACCCGGTGGTAAATCAATAAGTGAAACCTCATAGTCTTAAGTACTCTAACCATCTTTGCGCTGCCTCAGGTTAGCTCTCTCTGCCGAAGCAAATACTAAAGGCTCTTATGATCCGTATACAAGTGGCATTTCTCACCATTAAGTAATGTCTCTCCCAAATCTTCAAGGGCAAACACAAATAGGCTGCTAAACTCCAAATCAGGGTAGTAGTTCTTCTCATGGGGCTTCAGCTTGCCGGGAAGCATAAGCAATCACCTTGCCCCTCCTGCATAAGCACACAACCCAACCATTATGCGAAGGCATCACTATAAAACATCTATGTCTACCTGGAGCTGGTAGCTGTGTCAAAAACTGGAGCCTCATAAGCATCGCCTAAGCTTCTCAAAGCTTACTCTGGGCATCCTAGTAGGTCCCACTTCAAAACGGACATCCTTACGGAGAAGTCTAGTCAAAGGGCTGCAATAAGGAAAAACCCCTTGACAAAACCTCCTGTAATAAGTCCAGCAAACCTAAGAAATTGCGAATCTCTGTTGACATTCGTAAGGTAGCTTTTCCAATCAAGCACTGCCTCAATCTTCTTCGGGTCCACCACCGAATACCCTCATGCAGAAACAACATGCCCGAAGAAAGCAATCTCAGTCTCAACCAAAAATTCCACACTTATTGAGCTTGGCATACAATTGCGGGTCTCTCAAAGGTCTGCAGAACTGTTCGTAGGGTTGATGATCATGATCCTTCTCTAGTCGGAGAGTACACCAAAAATTCATCAATTAAAAACCACACGAACTGAATCCAAATGAAGGATGGAAGATCCGGTTCATCAGGTCCATAAACACTGCTAGCATTAGTCAACCCAAATGGCATCACTAAAAACTTCATTAGTACCGTTAGCGTGTCCTGAAAGCAGGTCTTAGGTAACATCTGATCCCTTCACCCTTAGCGGATTGATAAACCTGATCTCAGAGTCTATCTTCGAGGAATACACTAGCCCCCTCTAGCTGATCAAACAAGATCATCTATCTGAGGGCAATGAGATATCGATCTTCACAGTAACTTTGTTAAGTTGTCTGTTAATCATACACAATCTAAGTGAGGCCATCCTTCTTCTTTTACAAACAAATACTGGAGCACCCCATGGAGATTACACTAGGACGAATAAAACCTTATCAAGCAACTCTGAATCTGTTATCTTTAACTCTTTCAATTTCAGCGAGGCGCCATCCGATATGGAGCTGGATATCGGTGCAGTACCAGGCCATAAACATTCAGGCATAACCTCAATACCAAACTCAACCTCTCTCTCAGGAGGTAAACCAGGCAACTCCTCTGGAAACACATCCGGAAAATCACATACTGTGGTTATATCATGGACACTAGGAGACTATGACTCTAGAGCAAGTACACAGGCTAAGTACGCCTTACAACCATGCTGGATCAGTCTTCTCGCAGTAGAAAGTAGAAGCAGAAATAACGTTAGAGAGGTAATCCGACCTCTCCCCCACAACTACAATCTCCTCTTCAGACGGAGTCTGAAGCGTAATCCTCTTACGTTTAAAATCAACAATGACCCCATGGCTAGACAACCAATCCATACCCAATGTAACATCATACTCCCGAAAAGGCAACTCTATCAAATCACCCGGAAATACATACCCATGAATGACTACAGGGCAATCTCTATACACCCGATCAACTAGAATTTACTTTAAGTGCCAAAGTCAACTAGTAACCTCAACGCTGTGCTCTAATGTCTCAGCATGCATACTACCCAGTCTACCCACATGTATGCATATGTATGAATGCGTGGAGCCCGGATCAATAAAAGCAAGTACAAAAGTGTAAAAGATAGAGAAGGTACCTGCAATGACGTCCGCCGCATCCCGCTGCTCCCTGGTCCTAATGGCATAAGCCCTCGCCTGTGCTCTAGCCTCTGGTCTCTCCACAATCTCAGAAACTGGTCTCTCACTCCTAGTACCATATCCCTCACTACGGCCTCTACCTCTGCCTCTTTGAACATAGGGAGCTGGCCTCCCAACCTAACCTGGTGAGCCTGGACGAGTCACAGGTCAATAGGACAATTCCCTAATTATATGCTCATGGATCCACATCTCTATAGCAAAGCTCTCATTAGTAGTTCCCCAAACACACCCCCACATGCCTCCTGCCAAACACTGACTGCAATCAGTAGGACTGGCCATGTTAAGCACCTCCACCACTAACACAGATGAACAACAGATGAAGCCGGAGGAGCTGATCTCGGAAATATACCCCGACCAACTGTCTGGCTCGGTCTGACCCCCATCTGCGGTTCGCCTCTAAATCTCCGCCTCTAAATCTCTTGCTACTAGACTGGATCCCTGAAGTCTGTCCAAACGTAGCACTCTGCAATCTCTTATACTGACTGCTCTGCTGGGTCCTCCGACCTGTCTCTCATTCCGAATGATCTCAAGCTCTGAAGCAACCTTCACCAACCAAGCTAATGTGGTGTGGGACTGGGATGTCAAGTGCATCCTGTACTCATCCAGTAACCCCTTCCAGAACTGCATACACCTATCTGCCTGAGTAGGGACCAACTTTGAAGCATACCTACTCAACCGCAGAAACTCCCGCTCATACTCGGAGACAGTCATCCGTCCCTGCCTGAGCTCAAGGAACTCTGCTAATCTGTGTATAACTCCCATAACTCCCCCTAACATATTTCTCCCGAAAAAGGAGAGAAAGAAATCCCACAGTAATAGTCCTCAGCTCTCGCTGCTCTTCCACCATTAGACTCCCACATAGGCTCCCACCATAGGTAAGCCTCTTCCTTCAGTAAGGAAGCAGCACAGATCAATCTATCTGGAGGAGTACACTGCATCTGGTCTAAGACCCTCTCTGTAGCTCGGAGCCAGAATTTTGCTGCAGAAGGATCATCATCTCTCCGACTCATAAAATCCTCAACACGATACTTCCTCAATCTCTCTACCGGGGAAGGAACTGGAACAGGGGCTGGTGCGACTGGAGCCTGTGGAACAGCTCCCACAGCCTGCCTCAATGCAGCTACCAACTGCTATACCAAATCACCCTGATTAGGCCCCACAGTAGCCTGCCCTACAGCCGAGGCGTGCTCTGCATCGGAACCCCAAATGCCACCAGCAACACCACCGGCTAGCCTACTGCCCTCTAACATAGCACCCTCTGGAGGGGCATAATTGTCCACCTCCTCATCCGGCAGGTACTGAGACATCACTAAATACCTACAAAGACAAGTAGATTCGCATCAGAGAGAAATTCCCAAAACAGACTAATATGGCATGTATTTAACCTTATATCATTACTCCAAATCAGATAAACTCTCATACCAAATAAACTCTCATTACCACAATAATATATCCTAGAATCGTCTAAAACCTATGCTCTATACCACCAAAATGTACCACCCACGGCCAATCCCGGAGAACCAGGACGGCGGATGCCCAACAATCGGTGCCGGAGCACCGGTCTTATGTCACTTAGTTAAAGCTAGATCACAAATTAGAGTGGTTAAAAAATTTTCATAAGGAGGCAAGTAATTAAACATTTTGTTTTGGTTTTTTTTTCTTTTGTTAACGAAAATAAATATTTAAGGAAATTCCTACCCTACGAAAATTTCGCAAGAATTTTCCCTAAAAATTAACTTGCCACACAAAGAAAATATACACACTTCCAATTTTCTCCAAACCCTAAAACTCCAATTCAACACAACATGTCACACACACTTCTAAATATCCATCAATATACTTAGGTTCCATCACAATAGTCTAAACACATTCTTTTTTTTAAGGAATATATAATTATTATACACCAAAAATATAATGAGATGTTATTCCCGTAACTAATAATAACTCTTAATAAAGTATAAACTTATTATATACAACCTCCATAACACCAAATCCTTAATGCCTCAATAATATTTCATCTCCAATAACCACTACATCGAATTCCCTATCCATTATTCTCTAAGAATATCCTCCATGCATAATGGTCCAGAAAGATATAACCATTAATCATCAATAGTAACCTCAATATATACTTCGCTGACCACGACACCATTCTCCAATGGCTGGTTGTTTCCAATCAAACCAATATGGCATGTCTTTAACTTAAATTACTCAAACTCTCACTCCAAAACAGATAAATTCCTACATATATACACATATAGTCCGAGAACCGCCTAAACCTAGGCTCTGATACCAAAATTTGTAATAGCCCTTCCCGGTCCACCCATTAACCCGAATGAACCGAGCCGAGGTGCTACAATCTGGTTGAACTTATGTCCTATCATGCTGATATCATACTGTATGCTAAATATGAATACAAAACACTCCCAATTAAACTCCAAACTTCCACCCTATTCACCACAATTCGTGGCCTATGAAAGCACCACCGTGGCCTATGAAAGCACCACCCCATTCACACAATTTAAGCGCGTCCGCCTATTTATAAGGGCTGATAACCTAGCATATGAGCATATGATCATAGCTTCACAATAAGAAAATCCATATCATCATACCACGTTTCAATCATGCATAGTAGAGCCCAAATCAAAATCATTCTTTCACAAAAGCAATAAGTCTAAATCAAAACCTCTTCATTTCTTAATACTCATCAGTTCAGAATTTTACTCAAAACACTAGAGATATATATATACGTAATATAGTATAAAGTACATAAATCAAGAACTTTTCAGCATGTTCATAAACTTGACCTCTGCTGGGTTTTTAACACATAATTTGAGTTATGGGTCTCCAAATTGAATGAAATCAGATTCATTAGAAAGTTAACCCAAAATGCTACAAATGTTCAGAAGGGACGGGACCACAAGCCGCAGATCACAGAAGTAAGATTAGCAAAAAAAGCTCAGAACACAGACCAAAACAGATCAGAACCTGAGTTCAGCAGAACCGAAGTCCAATGTTTCTGAATTCCCTACTTCACCAAACAACTCAAATGAAAACCAATTCCAAAAGATAGAATTTACTAAAGGACACAGGGAAACAACTTTTACTGAAGAACTCAGAACCTCTAATCTACATTATGTGGTCAAATGGCACTCAATTTAGTAATGCATGTGGCCCGACACAACAGAAGGTCAGTTTGTGTGTTTCAGCCATAAGTTGAGCTAGTATCTCCAATTTGGACACAGAGGATGGGTTGGGGAAAAGATAAGAAGTAATCTATAAAAAACTTTATGAAGAAACATAAACGTTATTTGGCCATTGAGTGGTCAAAATGGACATCATTTCGGATATACAGGAAGACACACATTAACAGGAACCAGTTTTGGTAATTTCACTCATAAGTTAGCTACAAAGTATTGAAATTTGAACCATAGGAATATTGTTTGTTGGAAAGCTGAGAAAAAAATAGCTGAGAAATAGAGCTACAACTTTCATGAAGAAGTCAGAAACAAATGGGAAGTATAAAGGGGTCAAAAATGAGTTTCAATCCCACGGCAGAACATATCTAACATTAAATTCAGCAAGTTAACCAAAACATACAAAGTTCCCAAAATTCATTCAAAAACCTAACCATGTAAAGACAACTTAAACAAGTGAAAGGAATAGTGCACTAACCTTATTAACAAGCTTGAATAAGCTTGGAAAGCCTTACTGCTTGGCTTTCTCTTTACCCTTTGAGGATGGTTCTCCAACCTCTTCAAAGTATGAGAAATCAACATTAAAAGCAAAACTTGACAAAAGAAATAGTTGGCATGATTTAAGCATCAATAACATGTCTAAACATGAATTCTACTTAAACAATTTCACAAAACTCAAAAAACCACAACAAAAACCACAACTTACTTGCTTCAATGGTAACTTCACTTCTCTTTGCTTTTAATCACCAAACTCAACTTCTACTTCTTAATTCTTAAGAATTAAATACAAATCTATGGTTTAATTAGGTAGTTTGGTGGTAAATTTGGAAATTTGGAGGTAAGAAAATGAAGAAAATGAAAGAAGAAGGAAGAAGATGGAAATGGCGTGGAGAAGAGAAGAGAAGAAAGAAAACAATGTTGTGGTGTCACTTTAAGTGCCAAAGTCAAATTTGACTTCCAAATTTCATGCCAAATGTGTGGCTAAGATTAAGTCCTAAGTAATTTCATCCAATGGCTCTAAATATTCCTCAAATACTTCTCTTCTACTTATTATTTAATTCCACCAATTAATTAAATCAACTCCACTAAAATAATTCCTCATTTATTTCTTAATATACCACACTAGAAATATTATGCATTCAATACATAAACTCTCCAAAAATATTCATTAACCCACCTAATCATGGCAAACATGCTCCAACAATAGTAAATAAAATATTAAACGATGCAGAGTAATTTTTCCTGACTAAAATTAACCGGACTAAAATAATACCAAGTCCCGGACCGATGGTACTATTCACAGACCGGTAAATCACTATTACGACACTAAAAGAAAAATCAGTCTGTTACACTAAAAGTGATCCAAACAGAAATATATAGTTCTAGTCTTTTTTCAGTTTCATAAATACTATTTTCTTTTAAGTCAAACAGATTTAGAATATAAGAGAAAAAATATCAAGAAAATTAAAAATGATTAATCATTAATAGGTCATCCATATATTGCAAGGGAGATATAAATCTCTTACTATATTAAATGACAATAGTTACAAATTATTTAGTACAAAAAAAATAAAAAATTATTATTAAGAATATAAACTCTTTTTAACTCACCCACAAGAAAAAACATTTCATCAATGTACATAGATATATAAATATATCAAAAAAATATTATCTATACTGTTTGTCATCCAAAGTTTAATTATGTAAATTCTATTTGAAAATTTACTTTTTCAAAAATATATCTAACAAAAATAAAGAAAAAAAAAATTGTCAATCAGATGGTGGTATGATTGATCTTTTCACTTATGTGAGGGGTGTAAGGTAGTTTGAGTCCTCTTGACCACCGTTGTTTTCACCAATTTGGTGAGTCATGGGGAGTGTATGTTATTTCGGCCCATGAAAGCCTCTAATGAATTAAAAAAAATAAAACTAATATTTTTTTCCTTCTTCTTTTATCTCTCTCCTAAATGAAATATTATATATTCTATTTGAAAATATATATTTTAAAAAATATATCCAATCAAATCATACAAACATAAAGAAAAAATATTAATAAAAAAATATATTATATACATAAAGAAAAAATATTAATAAAAAAATATATTATATTTCTTTTTTATCTATCTCCTAAATAAACTATTTTATGTTATAATCAAAATAGAATTAAAATTTAATAAATAAAATATATAAAAAATTTTAAATGTCTCATTATCATATATAGTTATTAAAAAATAAATTTAGTAAAGATAAAACTTAAAATTTTGGAATGCTTAATTATCTATGTGTATTTATTTAAAAGACATATTTTTCTTATTCATTAGGATGTCTGATGGGCCAAAATAATATTATGGACTATACAATAAGTAATAACTCTCTCTAGACTAACCAAATTAGTGAAAGCACTTGTGATCGAGCGGATTCGAACTCGAGACCTTTCACTCTCGTATAAGTGATAAAGCAATCAGACCACATATGATTAACTTAAAAAATAATTTTTATAAATATATCCAATTAACTAATAAAATGTAATTTTCTAATTAGCTATATAACTAAGGTTATTTTAGAATATTCTAAATTTCATCAAAGGAACTATTGAAAATCCCATTATTTTTCCTCTATTCCCATATTTATATATAGTACCAGTTTTTTTTTATGACTAGCATTGCACATTGATTGTGCTCGTTATATACTCATTTTTATGTATTCTTTTAATTTTTTATTTAATTTTTTATTTATATAAATTTTTTATTTATATAAATTTTTTATTTAGATTAAAATAAATACAAGTAGTTAATTTGTATTATACGTTGCCATAGAAGCTACTCTTAGTGATACTTTTTATGTACTTAATTCTACTATGAAGTGGTGTCAAACTGAATTAATAATGATAATCATTTTGGCTACAATAGCAGTATTTGTGACCCAAAACAGAAATATACAACATTAGGATTTTTTTTAGTTTCCTAGTCACTATTTTCTTTCAAGTCAAATGGATTTAAAATATAAGAGAAAAAAATATCAAGAAAATTTAAAACGCTTAATCATCAAGAAGCCGTCTATTTATTACAAGAGAGATATAAATCTCTTACTAAATTAAAATGATAATAGTTATAAATTATCCAGTAATGGAAAAAATAAAAAAATATTATTTAGAATAAAAATCTTTTCAGAACTCACCTAAAAAAAAGTTCTAATATATATATTTTAAATTATTCACCACTCCCATACACATTCATTTTGTTTAAAATGAATTTTAAAAAGTAAAAATTTTAAAATTTTAAAAGGTTTAACTACGGGCATGCTATTTGAAATTTTTTTAAAAACATATACCCAATCAAATCATACAAATATAAAAAAAAATATTAATAAAAATAATATACTTTTTTATTTTTTTATCTCACTTTTATTATCTCCCTTCTAAATATTAATATATATTCTATTTGAAAATTTTAATTTACTATTTGAAAATTTATTTAAAAAAATATATCCAATCAAATCATACAAATATAAAAAAAAATGAACATTAATAAAAAAATATATATTTTTAAAATAGAATCAAATATTTCTCTGCAAAATAAAATATTTTAAAATATAACTAAAATAGAATCAAATATTTAAAAAATGAAATGTAAAAAATTTCAAATGTCTCCTTATCATATATATTTATTAAACATAAATTTCAAAAGATAATACTTAAAATTTTGAAATTGTTAATTATCTATATATATTTATTCAAAATATAAGTTTTATAAATATATTCAATCAACTAATAAGATGTGATTTAAAAGTTTTGAAATGTTTAATTATGTGTATTCTATTTAAATTTTTTTTTTAAAACATACCCAATCAAATCATAAAAATATAAATATTAATAAAAATAATACTTTTTTATCTCTCTCATAAATAAAATACTATGTATATTCTATTTGAAAATTTATTTTTTAAAAAATATATCCAATCAAATCATACAAATATAAAAAATATTAATAAAAAGCATATATTCTCTCCGAAATAAAATATTTTAAATTATAATTAAACTAGATCAAATATTATCAAATATTTTAAAAATAAAATATAAAAAAAGATAAAATTTAAAAATTTGAAATGTTTAATTATCTAAATGTATTTATTTTAAAAAATAATCTTTATAAATATATCCAATCAACAAATAAAACGTATTTTCTAATTCGCTATAACTAATGTTATTTTAGCATATTCTAAATTTCATGAAGGGAACTATCAGAAATCCTATTATTCCCTCTCCGATTTCCACATTTATATATAATATAGATTATTGTTATTATTATTATTATTATTATTATCATCATCATCATGATCACAACAATACTCTTTGGTCCTATATGACATAATGACAACTTAATTAAGAAGTTGATTTAGAGTTTAGTTTGGGTCAATTGGGTTTCTACTTAGTTTGGAATAAATTGACCCGGTTAGAGTGATTTGATTCGAAGAGATGATATTTATGTAGCATTTTAAATTAAATTAAATTTGATTGTTTTTGAAAATAAAATAAAATTTCGGATCATTTCAATTATTTACTTTAATTTTTTGAAAAATAATTGATTGAATGATGCATTATTTATCACACAATAATTGATTGATATATATTTATAGATAATAATTAAAAATAATTGTTAAACTCTTCATTTAACTATTTCTATTTCACAGTGGTAATTCTGCCACTAAACTATAACTCGTCTTCAAAAAGAGGAGATGTGACATCCTACCGAGTCGAGTCTTAGCACTGAGTCGAGTCATTTCATAGAGTCGAGTTGAGTCGGGCCAAACCAAACCCGGTTGGGGTAGAAGGGTAGAATGGAATATAAGTGGAACTTTACTTATTGAATTCTCTTCTTCTTTTTTTTTTTTGTTTTGT